AAAAAGGTGAAGTAAAATTCACATAAAAAGTGCAGTAAAAACTTTTTTTGGCCTGCGGTACGATTTACAACAAACTGCAATAGAATTAACGTGATAATTAGGTTCGGATTACTTTATTATTTGTTGTTAATTGAACTAAAAATTGCGATAAGATATAAAAGATAATTAAATTAGTAATGAATAAATAAAAATGATTTCATTTTTTGATAATTGAATTTATAATTAAAAATACGAAAAAAACAAACATTTTTTCATTGATTTATTGATCGATAATTTACCGATCAATTATTTAAATTTTTTGAATTTATAAATTCTAGCGCCATCTATGTAACTGTTTTGAGTAACGCTAGAATTAAATAAATCGCAATAATAGAGTTGATCAACTGTTTCGAGTAATTTTAGAATATCTAGACACGCGTCGCTACTGCGAGTCTCACTCATTGTTTTGTTGTGATTCTTTGCCGCCTGAGCTTCAGTTTTCTGAGAAAGAGATACAGATCACATTGTTAGTGGCAAAATAAAAATTTTCGTATTATTTAGTCGCTGCTCAAGCGTGGATTTTTCTATCGACAACGTATATTGTTCGTGAAAATACATTATAAAAATATAGTGTAATATTATCTTTGTGTAAAAACCGAGAAGGTGATGGATCATAAATGAGATTGTTATTAAATCAAAATTGTCTGTTCCATTGTCAACATTAAAGTGATATTTGTGTATAAATGTGTGTGTTAAGTTTGTAACAATGGATGAGTTTGTTAAACAACTTTTAAAAAAGTGGAATCTAGAAAATTTAATTGATCATTTCAACAGTAAGTAAAAAAACCTATTTCAACAATAGTATTCTTTATTCAAATTTAAAATATGAAAAATTGATTTATTTATATAATTAGTGTTCAGAGGAATTAATAGTTTCACTCAAAAAATTTTTTAGGTTAAACTCAATTCTCTATATAATTTATATTCATTCTCAAATTTTGTTACTTTTACAGTCAATATAGTTGATAAAGAAGTTTTTACTAATTTAACTGATGCCCTTATTGTTGAACTCATTCCACAAATTGGATTAAGATATAAATTCTTAAAAGAATATAACAATTTTATGTCGAAATATAATAAATCGTGTTTTATTATTAATAACGAAAGTATTCATATAATTGAAAACAATAATAATGTAAATCATGATGATAGTTTAGAAGAGTCAAATCTTTTGCTTGAATCAACTATCAGCGGTCTTAATGAAGTTTTTATTTCAAATCTCAATTCTATTTCTAATGAAAAAACAATCTCTCCAATTCCAAAAAAAAAAACTGCACCAACTTCAAATCTTCCAACATCGAAAATTCCTATTATGCCTCTGTCTTCAACATCATCCAGTAAGATTTCCAGTTCTTCCTTTCAAATGTATTTATTTACTTTTTTCTGTGTCAATGAATATTTTAGGAAACTCTCAAAATGAAATTAAACCTATATTAAAATGTTTTCGTGGAAGGCTTATTCTAGCAGAATTTAATCTTAAGAACACAATAAACCGACGGTTACTCACTAGTGTAATCATTGAATCAGAATTAGAAAACAGTAAAAAATTCAAGTACGTAGCTATTGATGGAATATTTTAAATTATGTTTTGGGAAGTTGAAAATTAACTTTCTTTATAATTGTTTTCAATTAGGATTACAGCTGAGAGATTTAAAAAGTTGACAAAAGATCTAGTAGAATTATTTCCTGATGAAGAAGAAGACTTATATTATACACCCTGGACAAAAGGCACAAATGGTCCTATTGGTGCTAGAGGACTTCTGTATGATAAATATATCAATCTGAGAAGAACTTTATTTGAATTAGAAATCCTTACTTCTGATTCTAATATAGATCAACGTAAATATTTTTTAAATTCGAATAACTTACACTATTCAATATTTTTGTTTTTTAAAAATGATGAAATTAGCTTTTTTTTAATTTTATTCATTCAATAATTGTTTACTATTCTAATATCTCTATTGATTATTTTTTTAAATTATAGATGAAATAAGCAATACAAACGATATTTTACCGTTGAGTGATTCATTATTATGGCTTAAAAATCATATAGAACCATTTAGTGAAGTGCTTTTAAAATGGCAAGAAAGTTTTAAAGAAAGATTGGCTTATCATACAGAACGAATTGATATGTATTTTAATACATTCAATGTATTGAAGACACCATCTGCTTATTTATTGGTAAATTTCATAGTTAATTCCTCTGAATAAAAGTATTATAATATATTGATGCATGTATTAAATACAAAGGTTTGCAAATGAAATTTTCTGTTACAGTTTGAATCAGATTTTAAACAAATTCATAAAGAGGCAGTTGATAAATTAATTCTAAAATGGCCATCGGTTGCAAAAAAAATTATTAATATTAGTAAGAAACGAAAAGATTATCAAGTATCGCAATACCTCAAGACTAATAATATATTATTGGCGAACGATTCAGGTAACTTCATTTGTCTTAACGACTTAAATATTAACGTTAATTGTAATTTTCATGACTATATTTTCTATAAAGATCTTGGTAATATTGAGATTATTGCCCTTGAATTACTTCCATTACTATTGGGTACAATAAACAAGAAATCTAAAAAATCAGGAAAACATTGGAGACCAAATATAACTGACATTAAGCAATCATTTCTTTTTCATGCAGAGGTAAATAAATTTTTATGAATTTCAACTCCTTCAAAAACGAAGTGTTTCAGAATTTTTTGAATTAAAAAATATTACAATCTCTGTTGTAATTTTTTTAACATTGCAATTCAAGTTTCAGTTTCAATTTTATTGTTTTTTTTTCTACAGACTATTGATGAACTACAACCATATATAGAAAGCAAAATTAGGATTTACAAGCAGCATAAATTGACTCTTCAGCCTTTTGTAGTCATCATTGGACTATTAGATAACATCGAAAGTTCGTTTGTAGTAATAAATGATCAGCGATATGTTTTACCTACCCCCTTAAAAGCAATAGACACATGTTTTAAAATCATACACGCATTGAATGCAACTTACTCAGTAGAGTGTGAACACGTTTGGGAATTTCTAGAAAAATACATTTATGAAGTTACAAAAAAAACTTCATCATTTACATGTGTCAATCGTCTTATAAGTGATTTAAATAGATATAAAAATTAAATGTTAAAAGACTATAAATTATAATTTATCACATTCATTTTTACATATTCAAAATGAATATGACATTTGATGATTTTTCTATTAATTTAGAAACATTTTTGGGTAAATTCTGGTTATCATTGTATAACAACTCAATGATACCACGAAACTGTGTTCAGTTCATCGTTGAAGAATTGACAAAATTTATTAGAAAACTTTACGTTCCATATATAATAAAACAAATTCAATATTATTTAATAAATAAATGTGAACAAGTTGTCATTAATGATATTCCACGTATACTTAATTCTGCTATTAGTTGTTTTGAAATATTTTCAACTGAGCATAGAAGATTAAAATATTTTTATGACAAAGGATTTCTTGTATTACCTATTCAATATAAAATTGGTTCAAGAATTGTAGAATCTAAACGCAATGGAATTATTGTTTCAGAACCAAAGGATGTGTTTGGACAATATATTCCTTTAAAAAATACATTAAAATCGATTTTTAGTATACCTGAACTATACGATAAAACTAAAAAGTACGTTGAGCATTTGAAAAATGAACCAGAAATTTTATCTAATTTTATACAAGGTGATCTTTGGCGTTCTAAGACTAAAAATCATGGAACTAAATTCTTTTTACCACTTTTTTATTTTTTCGATGATTTGGAGGTCGGTAATGCTTTAGGAAGTCATGCAGGAAACAACAAATGAGGTGTTGTATATATGTCTATTCCATGTCTTCCAAAGCAGTATGCTTCACGATTAAGTAGTATTTTTCTTGTTTGTTTATTCTATTCTAATGACCGAAAAGAATTTGGCAATAGAGCAATATTTGCAAAATTAATTGAAGAATTAAATGATCTGAAAAAAAATGGTATAACAATATCTATTAAAAATGAAAATATTAAGATATATTTTGAATGTGGAGCTATTATTGGTGACAACTTGGGATTGCATTCAATATTCGGTTTTGTAGAATGCTTCAGTGCAAACTATTGCTGTAGAATATGCGAAATTCCTTATCTTGAAATGAATAATCAAACTACTGAAAATGTAAGGATTTTGCGTAGTCCAGAAAAATATGAAAAGAGTCTAAAAATAAACAATTATTCACTGACAGGTATTAAAGAAAAATGTATTTTTAATGAAATAGATGATTTCCATGTTTGCATAAATCAGACTGTTGATATTATGCACGATGTGTTGGAAGGCACTGCAAATTATACAATGGTCATTGTTTTAAATCACTTAATTTTTGTTGAGAATCGATTTTCTTTAGACACTCTAAATTCTAGAATCGATACATTCAATTATGGTAAACTAGAACTTTCAAATATGCCTCCATTTATATCAGCCGATCATATACAAATTAAAATGTCTGCTGCAGAAATGCTCTTTTTTGTACGTTATTTTGGATTAATGGTTGGTGAATTTGTAGAAGAGGATAACTGTGTTTGGCAATTATATCTGAAATTAAGACAAATAGTTGATATAATAACATCACCTAGAGTGTTGAGAAGTCATGTTGTATTGTTTAAAACATTGATTGAAGAGTTTTTAAGTTTGTATTTAAAATTTGCTTCTCATCTACAATTTAAATTTCATATAAAACTTCACTATCCTGCAATTATGTTGAAATGTGGACCACTAATGCATTTATGGTCTATGAGATTTGAGTCTAAAAATCATGAATTAAAATCTACCGCAAATATATCCGGATCAATGAAAAATATATTATTAACTTTGACTTTAAGGCATCAATTAAAAATGTGTTTTACAAATTATAATCCTTGTATTATTCAAAAATACATTAATGGTCCAATTATACCTAATTATAACATTGATAATCATATAAAATCTGTATTTGGTACTAATTCCAATGTCAAAGCTCTAAAATGGATAGAAATTATGGGTCAAAGATTTGAAAAAGATTCTATTATAGTTGTAGACTTAAGTCAGGAAGGACCAGAATTTGGAATCATAGTAAACGTTCTGCAAATTAATGGAAAATTTTACTTCTGTATCAATCATTATACAACACTCGGGTTTAACAGTCATTATCATGCGTATAAAGTAATGAAAAGTTTCAAAAATTGTACTAAGAACAAGTTAGTAAATATTTCTTCATTAGGAAATATAATAAAATGTTTGTTAATAAATAAAAATGGCTCATTGATGATTACAACTAGGTATTCATTATAATATTTTCATGTAATGAAATTTGTATTGTCAATGGAATTTTCTATTTTGAAATAAAATTCATGACCAGTAAATTGTTAAAGTGTTGTAAACTGTTTTCCTCAGTTTTCTTAATGACTCGTAATTACAATTATTTGATGATAATTCAAAACATTACTCATTATCTTTTCTGGTTAGTAAAATGCTATAGTTATGTTTGTAAAAAATTTGATGTCAAACTAACATAAAACTGTGGTAAAAAATACTGCAAAATATTATTGTAAATTCTACGGCAAATGCTATTGTAGATTTAACATCATTTAACCAGAATAAAATTAACTGCATTTTTTTTAACTATACTTTTGATATAAAAATTACACCTACGCATGTAGATTTTACATCACTTTTTTTTCCGTGTATATTTTTGAATAATTATTATTGTTAAATTCTATGCACGCGCGTGACACTTGAAAGATATACGCTCGAGTATTTTATATCTATGCGCTGTCACGAGGCCTTCATAAAAAAATACATATACGTATTCCGTGGACTTACCAACGAATACACTCGTTGCGCTTGGCTTGTCGCCGTTGATTTGAAGTAAGGGAGAATCTCATTTAATGGGCGGATACGGGTGTCATGCTTATGTACGTCAGTGTACGAAAAATTAGAACAAAATTATCGGGTGGGAATGATGTTAATGGCAATGGCTCGAATATACATAAATTTGTCAAATAAAGTCCTCACAAGTAACGATAATATTCTCCTTCCTGTATCAAGATGCACAAAATAATAGGTTTTACAATAACATGTTGTCTTTTATATTCATTCAATGATGTAATTTAAATGGTTTTTTATAGTAACTTTATTAAAGCACTCGTTTTTTTGACAATTAGCATTTGAGTGATTTAATTTATTTGGAATGATTGAAATAATTCTCAACAATTGAAGCTTTTTAACAAAGTAAAAAATAGATTTTTGGTGTTTTATTGAGTTTATAGTTTATTGACAGTATTCATTTGTACAATAAATTTATTTATTATTATATTAAATAAAAATTTTATACAGATTTAAAAATAAATTTATTTATATTAACACTTTAAAGAAAGAAAATATTTAAAAAATATTTTTTTTCGTCTAAATAATTATTAGGCTTTTTTTATTAAGAGTATTTGATTTAGAATTACATGAAAACAAAGAATGACCGGTAAACAGGAAGCAAATGATTACATACAAGAACATTAACATATCTATGCAGTGAATAATTATATAGAGACATATATAATGTTTTTAGAAATAAAATATTAAAATAGTTTATTTTATGTTTAAATAAATTTTACTGAATTCAAGGACCATGTTCTGATATTGTAGCATATATTCAAATGCTTATCTTCATGTTTCAATAATTTATATATTTATATATAAATAATATATTTTTCTCACAAGATGATTCGAATTGTCATCCAACATTACTCATCAATAAAAAGCTTCATGAAAGAATTTATGTTTAGATACCCGAGTGAAATTTAAATCAAACCCATCATTTTTATTATTAATAAGAAAGCCCGTCAAAAATGTTCATAGCACTACCTCAGCAAAATTTTAATTTCCATCTATTATAATCCTCAATAATAAAAGAACCTCCTTAATACTCAACAACAGATGGGAATGAGCCAACGTTTGAAATAATTCGACAACGTGACTATTAACGTTGTTTTTTTAATCATTTACAGTAGAGTAATATACAATTGATGAATAATAATATCCTACATGAATGCACGGACTCGTCGATCAGAGCTTAAGTAACGCGAGGAGTTTTAACGATTCAACACGCGATACTTGTTCCCACGCACCAATACCGCACGCGGAACACTACTCTGCGATATCGCTCTGACGTGTCAACTACGTGATCATACTCTAATGCTTCCTCAGAGGGGACTTACACATCCAAATTACCATTCTGAATGTCATCATAACTTTTCTTCCAACTTACTCTCGACCTGAATACCGATAAACTCCAATATACCAACCACGTTTACATATATAATTCATTTCTTTCTTTTTTTTAACTTGAAACGAACTAGAATATAAATTGAAAATATGAGACGTTAAATCATTCATAATTGAGCCCTTAATTGAGCTGGATAACTCTGAAATTTTTAATTCAAATTCGTACTTGTAACTTGCACAATATGTTGAATTTTTTGTAACTTTGATTATTTATTAACAATATTTAAGTTTAATTAACCTCAATTATTTAAAAATATTATTATTACAATATTTATTTCCAATTAAAATAAATGAGTTTCTTAATACGACGATGGTTATTAATTAAACTAATTAAAATTAATGAATAGTTAATAAAAATATTCAAATTCAATTTTGTATAATGATCTCTATAAAAACTGTAAATTACGTTTACGAAGTTTGGAGTTTCAGTGGCTTTGAAAATTTAATTACACAAAATATTCAATTGAAGTTACACAGAAATGTATAGCAATCAATCGTTTAATTAATTAAATACCTTAATAACCTGATTGACGAGCAATTCAATTGAACCAATCAACATATGCTAGCAATTATGTAAATAACATCAGCAAAAAATGATGATCAATTAATGTCAAAAGTAATGCAGAGATGTGGTACAATTTTAAATTGAATTAATTTGTTTAAAAATTTCGATTTTTTCAGTTTATTTTTTAGCAACAAACTACCTATATACTATTAACATCCATCATCATTATAATGATTTTTATCAACTTAAAGAAAAAAGTGTTAAAATGTAATTTTATCTAATGAATAATTATTAATGATATTTATCTATATATTTATCTCAGGTAAAAATAGTGATGATTATTATTAACTATATTTATGAGATAAAATTAATTATAATGGAATTAAGATCAATTCTTATTGAGTATTTAAAATGAAGAAGAAAAAAAAACTACTAAAAAATAAATATTTACGGTTTTACAGTGGCATACACTGATTATCGCTAACTTATTTTTCAAGAATATCACCGACTTCTTGCAACTTTACAAAAATAATTGAACAGAGACAATGATTAACAACTAATATTGTGAACATACTATTGGCATTTATATATTAACAATTAATGTGAGTTAATAATTTTAAAAAATAATAAACTAATACAAGATATAAACGATTGAGGTAAGAATTAAATAATTATAAAAGTTGAAAAAAAAAAAGTTTGGGATAAGAAGTAAGAAAAGTGAAGAAAGTAGCAGGTGGTTGTATAGAAGACGATTCAAAAGCGAAGCCGGACCACCAAGGTCGTTGAACAAGTATCGCGGTGTCAATTAATGAGCAGAAAGAGGGGTAAAGTGGTCGCTGCAGTGAGACAACTTCTGGTCTTCGGACTGCACACAACGAGAGAGCGAGAAACAAGGAGGACCTGTCGGTCTACGGGTTACGGTTTTGTCGCTTGATTCTCGG